TAAAAACCCTGTTTCTCTTTAAGCTAAATAAGATTACATCCCAGGAAATTTGCCTAAGAATCTATTATCCTATTTTTCACTGAGTTGGAAGCCAAACCTGACTGTGCTCTAACGGTTTCTGGCTGATTAATTTGCCTGAATTTATTCCTCTATATCACAAACGTTCAGCATGTGTAAAAACTGCCAACACAGCAATTCATGTGTACAGCTGTAATACCAAAATATTTTCTTTCTATAAGAAGATTAGCTACTGCATGCAAATGTATTTACAAGTTCCTGAAATGCAAACCATCTTCTGCACTTCTTTAATCTGCTTTTATTTTGTTTTAAATTTCAACACAATGTTTAAGCATTTTGTCATGACGGGTCTAACTGATTTAACCCACATGCAGAACACCTCGGAGACAGAGTAAAAGTTAACAACTGTTTATTGAGAGATTCACACAATAAAGTTATTTGCACTGATACTGGAACGGGGCTCTCTGCAGAGAGGGACAGTTTGATTAGCCAAGTAACAGAGGAGTCTTGACAGAACTTGTAACTGATCTGTACCTGATGGTGGTTCAGACTGAGCGTTGGAGAGAGGGAACCAGAAGGGTCCAGAGACTGAGGGTTCAGCAGAGGGTTTAGCAGCGGCAGGGCTTGACTTCAGCTGGTCTCCTGATGAGATGATCAGCCGCAGGTGTGCTGGTGGCTTCAGTTCAGGAGACCCAGGGACGCCCTCTGCTGGAGAAAGGTGGCAGATCTCCAGATCCCAACACATTTCATTCTGGCAGGTTTAAGTTTATGCTTAATTTTCCCCCAATAATCATTTAGCATTTAAATTGAACACTTATGCTACCTGTAAACTCTAAAATTGTAGTTTACGTTGTTAGAATAAATCATTACTTCTACATCAATACAATAAGTGGAATTTCCCAATACACCCCTTGGCCCCTATAAAGGACCACCCAGACACTGACCACCCTCTCCAATCCCTTTTCCTGTATTATGCTGAAAACATGAAAAACCTTGATAAGACCGGAATCCACAAATACACACCCAAACATCCCATTTTCTCCACATAGCCCCACCCCCTGGCAATAAACCAGTATTTGCCAAAATGTCGCCAACTCTAACCCAGTTTGATATCTTTATTCATCCGCTCAGTCTGGCTTTATAGGTAAAGCATCCATTTTGAACCATTCAAATGGATTTCTAGAGGCCTTCAAAACCTAAAGTAATTTTTTTTTAATTTCATTTTTTTAATTTTGATATCTGTGATATGTGTTGACCAATACTTTTATAACATTGTGGATGACTTCTTCATCCATGTTTACAACCCACATAACATACAGGCAAAAGACCTATGTGATATACATGAACAAACACAAATAGGGACATTGATCATCAGTAGAAGTCTAAATATGTCCAAGTTCTTTGCATCTGATGTCTCTTCTCTTTGTCTTTGAGACTATTATTTAAATTGACTCCATTAGCAAAAGGGAAGTTAAAAGAAGATGCTTCAAATTGACAGTTCAAATGAATCTAAAATTTACTCTTCCATTTTGTCGTATTACCCAGTAGATGAGCAACTCTAGGGGACGTCCACTCTAAAACATCGTTGATTCCATTGCTTCTGTAAAGGTTGTCTTTGGTAAGAGAAAAATCTCCATAAATAAAATGCTCCACTGATCAATAGTTTAAAAAAAAAGAGTGTAGAAGAAAAAACAAGGTGTTGAAAGACTGCACTCCATCTATAAAAAAAATACCTCATAGATTTAACTTACAGTTAAAGATTGCAAGGGAGTCTTTCTTTTCTTCTTTTCTGAGATCAACATGCATCGATAATGTTCAAGCTCTGTTTTCCAGAGTTGACAGGTTAACAAACCCTCCTGCATCTACAGCCTCTGAACTAAACTCTAACAGGATCTGCAGTGAATTTGTGAACGTTATAGGGAAAATTCAGAAAAATAGAAAGGTAGTCTGTACATCAATTTCAAGTCCAGACCAACAGCCTTGATGTCCCCAATAAAAACAAAATTGGAAAAAAAAGACAGAACTTTATTTTATATATTTTAACCACAGCTTTTTTAAGGTTTGTATAAGGTCTGTTTTGATTCGAAAGATACACTCAGTCCTTATGTTTGGTTATTAGTATATTGACCCTGAGTGCACAGCATTGGTTAGCAGCATCTGTTAATCCCATCTTTCCAAAATGCATTTCTACTGATACAAATACCTGATGTAAATCTGCTTCGTCAATAGAACTTTAAGCTGCTGCTGATGTTGTAGTATTTGGCAAGTGTCATGAATTAATAAATATTTACCTCTGCCAAATAGGTTATATTTTTAGGAGAGCTTGTGTGTGTGTGTTTGTCTACCTGTCTGTGTACAAGATAACTTCAAAAGTAAAAATTTTTTATGACATTTTCATCAGTGGTGTCCCTCATGCCAAGGAACAATTAATTTGGTAACAATCCAGATTATGTGGGAGTTTTTGCTCTAGGTGTAAGTCAAAATTTGGGCCAATTTGCTGCTTGGTTTAGGTCTGCGCTCTCAAAATGCTTTTCTAGTAGTAATTTAAAGCAGATCTTTTTGATCTCATCATTCATTCCCTCACCAACAGCTGCATTTCATGCAGTTACATGCAGGTGTTTTCTCCCAGGCCTTAAAAACAGCAATCATCGACTTCCAATTGAAAAAGGATCATCCTGACAAGTTGTGATTAAATATAAGAAGGAGGTGGGGGGATGTGGCAGCCTGGGATCAGACATTACTGGAGATGGTGCGGATCCAGGATTGGCTCTGGTCCCCTATGGCCACCTCTTGGTGGGGATGCTTCTACCTGGTGAGGGAGCTTTGAGCTCCTCACTTCCCCACGGGAGGCCTCGAAGGGGTTGGAGATGGGGGTCGGGATTGGCCTGTCAGGCAACCTGCTCAGACCCTTTGCTGAGATTGGTTATTCCAGTCCCTTTGTATGAGGAATGTCTGCAACGTTCGTTCTGTTGTTGCATGCAACACCTGTATGGGGGTTGGTGGGCTGTGCTCTATCACCTCTGTGCCCCGTCTCTGGCCCCTCTTTTTCCAGGGACTGACTATCTTGGGTGGAGGGCAGGGCATTGGAGCTGGGGTTGGGTTTTGATGATGGAATGGGGGCGGGTGTGGGCTTGTGGTCTACTCCTGGTACTTGGTGCCGTGCTCCCCTGGCAGAGGATGTACTGAAACCCCTGGACTCTCATCTGGATCCACCTTGGTAGTGACCAGCTGACAATGGCTTGCCCCAATGGGACCTCAGACCTTTGGGACTGGGTCCCTTTGGGGTGCTCTCATCTGCCCTTCTCTGATGGGTTTCACCTAATTTCTGTCCCTCTTGTCTCATATAGGTGTGTTGCCTTTGCCATTTCCTTTTTGTTTTTCTCTTTTCATGTGCTTATCCCCTCTGTCTTTCTCACCTCCCTTTCTGTCTCTGTCAGTACGATTTTACTCCTTAAATCATTTTCATGAAAGTTTCATATATGAGCACCAAGCAGCACTGAGCACCTTATGACAAAAACCACAATGGTCTGTTTGGGGAAGCAAATCTGTTAGACTATCATGTAGCTCTGGGACATCGATTCCCAGAGCTCCATTAGCAAAACAGGCCAAAACCTAAAAAAAAAAAAACAAAAAAAATGAAATGGCAATCTAAAGAATAAATAGGAACTATTCAATTCTGATGTTTCATAGATCTGAAAAGCATTTTTAAAAAAACTCTAAATATGTCAAGACCAGGGTTGTTTTGTGTTAAGGTTAAAACATGTTAGACAAAAAAAAAACAAAAAAAAAACAGCCTTGCTGGGAAATTCAACATACGGTACCTAATATTAAGGTAGGATGAATGATTTCTGTGTTTGACATGCTAAATCACCGGTGTTTGTGTAATTGCTTTCACTACCTGTAAAGCAATTATTTTACACAGCTGTTTTGATTGAATCCTGCACACTTGCCAAATCAGGATTTTTAACAATTATATGATATATATGAATTAATATGGGTAAAAAATGGGAGCACAAAAAGATACAGTTTACAACTCCTTTAAAATGAGATGAGAATTCTGCTTTATTCATTAATATGCACTGCAAAAACATCTGGGCCAGTCAATCTGAAGCAGCAGGATAGGTTTTGCTATATAACAGATCTGTTATTTATTCCTTCTGTGTTTGAACGCCCTGAGAGGCTGTGGTGTTTCCATCCCGCTATTTCGTGATATCTGTATTCTCCTCTTCCCTGCAGGCGTGGCAGGTGTTGGGGACCACACAGGCTGAAAATGAAAATGAGCAGGCTGCAATCGTCTCCCTGCAAAGGTAATGAGAAACATCTGAGTTCAGTTCAGATTTCAAAGAGCCTGATTTTATATTCTACAAGAAGATTATATTTACTTTCTGACAGCAAGTTACACAAGCAACCTAAGTAACAAACAAAATAAATCCATTCACACATACATAGAGAAAAGGGATTCATGTCCCTTCAACGTTGTCTATTTTAAACACAAGCTCATAGTGTTTTGTTGATACTTTAAGTAGTCGACATACGCAACGGAAAAAAAAATATGGTTTTATATTTTGCAAATAAGGAAACTGCTTGCATTCACAATTTTATCATTGAATCACCTATTACTGGAGTTATAAAAAGTCTTTTCAGCAATATTACTATTGAACTTGCACATCTAGAAACAAAAAATATGCAAATTTAATCATTGAAAATTACGTCATGGTTAGCTGGATTGAAAGAAGCATATCTGTGAGAAGCGATCAATTTTTTAAGTTTTGCCAAAGATGATCAAATTAATTTGGTTTACAGATTAACTGGGCCATTAAAAGGAAATGAACAAATCAGGTGAATCGCTGACTTTATAAGTTGTTTTAGCTTTCATTGATGTTTCTATCATGTTTTCCCTGCATTTCGTTTCATCTAATGTCCTATCCATTCTGACTACTTCCCCAACTACTCTGAATTAAAGCATTCCTGTAGCATGATGCCACCACCTAACCTTGCGCTGCCAGTTGGATTATCACAAGATCAAAAATTTTTATTCCCACAACAAATCCATCTTGAAAAACACCCGCTAATATGCCCATCTCAGTCAGGGTCAGAACAATGACATGCCAGCAGTGTTTTTTGGCTGGGACATGTAAAAATGACGACAGTCGGAATGGCCTTGCCTTTGCATTGCAAACATGGCAACGCTGGAGGACTCACCTGTCAATACTGCAAGTGACTCGATTTTAGCTTAAATAGCGACAATTTCTCATTTAAAAAAGGTGAAAAGAGAAGCACTTTGTGCATTTGTAGATGGGAAAGATGTCTGTGGCTGTGTCCAACTGTCCGTTTTAATCCCTATATAGGGCACTATATGGTGGTTACGCTATTTTAGATGAGTGTGCGAACGTCTAGTTGAGGAAAAAGTATTGGACTCAAAGTTTCCCAAAATGCATCTTGAAAAGTACTGATCATCCATGGTCACTAGACAAGCAAATATATACTCCGGAATGCTTTGCGCGGAGTGCTCTCCTCACAAAGCATTATGGGATTTATTGTCACAGTGGCCCGCTGTCGCCATCTGCTATCGCTACCTGAAAGCATCAACTAATAAAGATGGCGCAGGCACAGCACAGTGGAGGCGGAGTTATGTGACCAACAGTGAGCAAAAAGCAGTGATCATCTGTCTGAACAGTCAGTTAACTGAGTTCACTATAAAGTCCACTATATAGTCCCCGTTCTATATTGTGATTGAGGGATTTAGGGGTTAGGGTGGACTTTCAGACATAGCCTGTGTTTGTATGTCCGTTGGTGGACAACTAACTTGCGGAAGCTATTAAGTCTGAAACGTCACGATTCACTGCTACGATTGGCTGAAAGCGTATTATGGAAGGCGGGTACTCGCTGACACCTCTTCCAATCAACTTAAAGTATTGTACTGAACGTCCCTCCTGTTCATGGACAGACTGTACAACAGCTATCCCAGATTGATAACATAGAACTCAACTCAGTTCTACACATCAATCTGGCTACTGCCAGGTTAGCCACCACCACCACCATATTTTTAGGGTTTTTTTGTGTTCAGGGGAAAGCGTTGTTCTATGTTTACAGATAGAATTTTACACATAGGTCCTAAATGTCAGAGCTGTAGAGTTAGTAGTACTTAACTCTTTAAATTTTGGATATGAAATTGCTGAGTTTCCTGGACTCTGGATACCTTCTTCCTTGCTGGTTGTGTTCTATGGACTTCATTATACTGTACAATTTAACAGTGTCCTCTAACAAACTTCTTGGGAATTTACAGCACAGTTTTGTTTATACTGAGATTGAACTACAACTGCATGCACTCTATTTACCAATTGGCAGACTCCTGAGCAGAATTAGTTAAATTTTGTTTAGGGGTATCAAAGTAAAGCAGTGAGTAGAACTGCATATTATTTGAATAAAATTAATAAATTAGTTGCATAAGTTTCAACATTATTTACAATTATATTCCATGTTGCATTGCTTTGTTAAATAAAGTACCAATTGATACCCTGAAAGATGTGGTTGTGACTTGATAAACAGTAAGAATGAAACAGCTATGAATACTTGAGCAAGTTGCTGCACATGGGGGAGTAGCCCCAGGCCTCTGCTAGTTGGTTACTAAATTGCCATCAACCAGCTATTGGAAAAAAAATTGATGTAATTTTTTCCTTTTTCTTAAAATAGAGGAACCCTGCATGGATGGTGATTGCAAGAGTCAGGGCTCTGACTGGAGACCTCAATGGGAGGTGGCCCAGTTTCATTCATTACAGTAGAGGAAATTACACCTTTCCCAGAGTGTGAACACTGATAAGTCAAGTAGAAATGCTTTCTAAGATAAATAATCGTTGTGTTTCATAAAAAAAAATTTTTTAACAGGCTTTAAAATAATTTCTGATTCTTATCAGATTGACTGATAAGAAACAGATCTATGATTGATTTTTCTTTCTTACCTAGTATGATTATCTTTTAAATCTCAGGCTGTTTGTTGGCTTATTACTACATTATGTAATCACTCCATCTGTGAGGAGTAGTTTGGTCTGAAGGGAGATTAGATTTTTTGCTGGCATTAATCCTGTCTCTGCTACACTGTTTTTGTATCAACTGGCAGCCATCATGTTCCCCGTTTGAAACTAATTACAAAAAACATAGTGTCTGTAATAGCTTTTCTCTTTCTTTTACTTTTAGACAGTAAAGTGCCTCTTCACAACTCTACACAACACAAGCAGAGTCAGCAAAACAAAACATGAACATGAGACACAGTTTTTCCCAGACAAACTTTAGGAAGTTTAAATACATACAGATAAACTAGGTAGTTTTTTTTCTAAGATACATTCCTGTAAGTGTTCTCTGAATTTTGAACATTGTACACAAGCATTTCTGCAAGCTTAGCCAAGAACACTTCCCAGCAGGAGGCTGAAATAATTTAGTTGGTCTGGGATTTTGATGGTTTTAAGGAAGTTGGCTGATTATCTGCAGCAGATCAAACTTGAACGTTGATTAATCCCAAATCTTATTTTGGCCTGTCACCTCTTAACTAATCCAAATCCTTCACCCAACTCTGTTGTGTCCTGCTTTCACTACAGTAATCACAGCATATCTACTATAACATCACTAAATATAAGTTTGCATAAATGCAAAGTTAAGTCAAATCCAGCAGGTGTGGGCAGCATGAAAACCTGCTCCTCTGTTGAGGATGCAGGGTGAAAGAGGTGCAGTTCATCCATTCCTGATGTTCCTCTGCTTCAGCTGGTCCCAATTAATGTTTGTCATATCTACATTTCTCTTTGAAAACACACATTTAAACATCTCTTCTTGCACGTTTGTATCTGTCTCTGTCCAGGTGTTTGGAGCTCCACCCAAATAACATATCAGCCCTCCTGGCTCTGGCAGTAAGCCTGACCAACACTGGTATGCGTCATGACGCCTGTGAGGCCCTGCTCCGCTGGTTGAAACACAATCCCAAGTACAAGCACCTGCTTAAGTCCAAGACTCATATGATGGGCTCCCCGAACTCTCAGCGCAGGATGTCGTATGTTCTAAATGCAGGCAGACATGACAGGTAAAACATTTAAGCTAATTTCCGGTATTCTAGAGCTGAAAGAAACTTTCAGGAATCATAATCACTATGCTCTCTCTGGAGCATAATTAGATTAAAAAATATATATTTTCGTTATTTGACTGAGGAACCACTGACGAGAGAATAACTGAATATCTAATGGGATCAATAATATAATGTGATCCCAATTCATTTTCTAAGTTACTGACAGTTACTGACATTGTCAGAATGCTTTATTTTTTAAGTAAGAGCAATCAGTGCTGCAGATCTATATGCTAGAAGGCCTGATTGATGATATAATTTCCATGTTTTGTTTTTTTTCACATTCAGAGCTTTAATTAGCTGGGGTTTATATAAGCTTTCTGGTTCTGATAGAAATTACTGATTTTAAATGAAATAATTTGATTTAATAATTTTAAAGAACATAATTATTTCTTTGATGTATTAAGGAGTAAAACTACACAGAATATGTTTCCATGGAAAGTGTATACAAATTTCTTATATTAATATTTTTCAGCAAAGTAGTCTGCAAAGATGAAGATTCTAGAAATAAGTGATTTGTTTGGACTTGTGCATCAGAACTAAAAGCCTGCTACAAGGACCAAGACTGAGTTTAGATGAAGCAAATGTTGTTCAGTGTTCTGCCATAAATGTATTGGATAGAGTTTGTTTGTTTGTTATCCCGTCAAATCACTGAATACAGTTAATCCAATGATGTCATTGGCCACATGCATGCAAAATCCAGCCCTTAGCCTTGTGACTGTTTCTACAGATATTTGTTAAAATACTAACAACCTCAGAAGCTCAATAAATCCAATAATCACATTGCTGTGATAGGAATACCACCTAATTTCAGTTGGGAATATTTTTTCTCAAATATTTTACAGACAATTGCTTCTGGTGTTATTGCAAAGTGAGGGCAATTGGTTATGATGGTGACTCAGTTGTAAAGTGGATGGTATGTAAAAACACAGAGGAGGTTTGAGCATATTATGCAGAGGTTGTGAACTTTTGAAACTCAGTAGCTGCTGACTTTCAAACCTTATGTGTTCTTAAGATTAGATAAAATACAATGTGAAAATAATATAATGGAAGAGACTTGCATGGTCAAGAAGCTGCAACAGTTTCTGTCTTTACCAAGTGCAAAAGAAAAATTGGATACTGTTGTGTATTCCTTAATGTCTAGTGATGAGTCTGTCTGGGTTTGTCAGTTTCCAGAGGAATACAGCTTGTCTAATGCGTGAGATGTTTTGTGGAGTGGATTATGTCATGGATCTGTTTTTTAGTGGTTGGGTTAAGTACCTCCTTAGTTTCAGTAAAAAGGAACTCTCCATACATTTGAATACCAATTTATTTTCTCAGTGTCTCTCCCCCAGCCTTGGGAGAAACGTTTTTGGAAGGCCTGCTTCTTTTTTAACCTGACTTTGTACCAGTGCAGAAAAGCCAAATCTATAAAACTCAATGAATGAGTTTGGGGCGGAAGAACACTCATTCATTCATTTAGAAATTGTGTATTTCAGGTATCCCCTTAAATGAAATACACATGTATCCCCCTTATGTATTTTTCCTTTTGTATTTTTCTGAAATTGTTGTATATCAAGTGATGCATCAAAGACCAAAGGTCAAAGGCAGTATTAATAATATCAACTTTTTTCTGTTACTATTAGTCGAAACCTACTCATTTTTAATATATGAAAGCACCAAAGTTATAGAATTTTTTTTTATTTAGTGTCTCCTTTAACATTATATTATTGGAAACCTACTACTGTATTTTAAAAGAAGTAATACCCAAAGATGGCATACCCTCAATTTACTAGTAAAATTCCAATCATAAACCTGGGAGCAGTGGCGGTTCTAGATGAAATTTACAAGGGGGCCAGGGTGGGGCCAGTGTTTTTTTCATAAAGGAACAGGACAAAAGAATAACAAACACGGACAAACAAGCAAACAATAGGGCAAGTACACATCATTTACTTTATTAAGTGAGCCACAAAGCCAAGGTTGCAGATTGTGGATAAAACAGATGAAAACTGTGATCCTGTCTTGGCACGATTAAAGCTTAAAGCAAACTGCAATTTTGAAATAATGGCTAACGGCTAAATATTTAAATTGGTCCAAGGAACATTTCAGTTATGGTCTCTTCTATCAGCACATGTCATGATAATAAATACATTTAGTGTTATACTACAGAAAAAGGTCTAAAAAAAAAAAAGTTATATGATCAGCCAAAATTGCATTTTTTTTTATGATATGCACATACAATAAAATAATGGAGGTTGTTTCTTTTTTATGTAAATTATATTTATAGGTAAATTCTTCAACTGACCTGCTCAAAATAAGGGGAAAAAACATTTATCTTTAGAAAAAGAATACTTAATTTTATAAAAATTTTTGTAGTGTATGTTTCCTGGACAGGGACCATAACAGGGACTGTTAATGCCAAGGAGTGTCCACCTTGTAACTGTCATGATTTTTCTAAGCTCGGACCCACATGCAGTGAAGCCAAACAGATAGACACAGAGCAAAAGTTTGAACGGGTTTTATTGAAAGATATTTAGAGTTCGGTGCAGAGTTCCTCCGAACTCTGCTCGGCCGGAAAAACTGAAAGACGGGGAAGACAGACTGTTAGATTCAGGTTCAGTGGGGAATAGGAGTTGTTAATCTTGAAGGAGAGGATTTGTTGCCACTCATGTTTCCAGAGAAGAGGAGAAACGTAGACTCCAGTCTGTGTGTTGGTCGTCCAGGGTTTGTTTGATTCGTTGGAGGGCGGAACAGGGTTTACCCAGAACTTGGATGGAGGGGAATGATGCAGCCGCTGGTTGCAACTCAGTTTTCCAGTGGTACTTGAACGGGTCGTGGTGAAGATGACTTCCTTACTCAGAGAGAGATCTCAGCGTGCTCAAAGGTGGCTGGATCCAAACCTCCTGCTTTGAATCCGTCGCTCAGTGTAAGACTCAGTAGATCCCACTTGGGAGGAGGCAGTCCGAAAAGGTCCAGTTTGCAGGAGGGCTTCCCCAAACTGGCAAACACCTTGGCGTCGAAGTAGTGGCAACCAGCAGCTTAAGAGTAGTCCGGTGATGAGGCAACAGCTTGCAGGTGTGTGAGGAGGCGAACAGGAGCCAGGCGCCTCCTGGTGGTGGAAGGGAAAAACACAAAAGACAAGACAAACAGACGAACACAAAAACTGGGATCCTGACAGTAACAAAGATCTCACTTTTAAGTAGGATGGGCTGTGGGCCAATGGATGAGGTTGTTAAGTATATCAGATTTTAAAGGCCCAACCTTTCTCTCAGTGTAAAGCAATATTTGATCAAATCATTAATCGTCTAGCGTGTGCAGAGAGATACAGCTAGAGCCAATTACTGTGTCATTCCCGTAGGACAACAGACTTGGTCTTTTCATTATGGCTGTACATACCATTCTTCTTACCTTAACCGCACTGTGCTCTCAGAGTCATTCTTCTTTCCAAGATATCTCTACTTTAACTTTTATCCTTTCCTGATGGTCCTCTCAAGGAAAACTTAAACTAAGATGTGACATTTTTATCTCCATCTAGAACAGAGATCAAAAAGTCAAAAAAAAAAAAGATACAAATAACCACTGAATATGATGTGTTTATGCACATCAGATGTACCTGATTTCTTTATAAAAATAGTAGAATATTGATACTTAACATTTTTAACTAACTGTCTTTGACTTCACCACCTTTATTGTATCCAGTCTACCAGTTTCTTCTAGTCTATGAATGGATATTTACATGGTAGCACATTGTACAGCACAGCTCTACAGACTTCAGAGCGCTCATTCAGCAGTAGCCTTCAGTCCCACTAATCCTGATCTGCGTGTGTCTCTGTTCGTGTTCTCAGCTCACTGCTGCCAGAGGTCAAGGAGTTCTTCCTGGAAGCAGCACAGCAAAACTCGGACAGCATTGACCCGGATTTACAGACAGGCCTTGGGGTGCTCTACAACCTCACCGGCGAGTTTAACAAAGCTGTAGAGGCTTTCAATACAGCCCTGTCAGTGCGGCCTGAAGTAAGAAACCCAAAATGTTCTCTCTCGCTCTCTCTCTGTCCCTCTCTCTTGACTCTAAGAAATTTGCAGACTAATCAAAGCTGAACTCTAAAGATGTCCTTTGCTACTTTGGGTATCATTAGACGGAGGTTGCATTCTCAAATCATGAATCAAAACTCAAAGTTATAGTGGATGCCCAAGAACTGTCCAAGTCCCTTTTTAAACAATTGCAAATGCACAAGGCCTAAAAATGTCTCCTAACTACACTCTGGTCTTTTATCTTTCTTTTGAGCCCTTCATCTTTTCTCATAAATTGGAAGACAGTTTTGTTCTTGCAACATTTTAGCCATTTTTTAGAGTATACTTTGGGAGCAGTGCAGAAACAATTAACGGCTAAAACTGAAGTTCACTGGATACTTCAACATCGGAGTTGCTCATGCACAGCAACAGGAAACGAGCATGAGACTGGAAGACTGGGAAGTAGGACAACCAATAGATAAAATGATCCCCTTGGAACTCGAAACTGAACTAAGATTGTCCGCTCCCTTTAAATTACATTTTCATTGTTTCATTTTGTTTCATAGGATCACATTCACCTTTAAAGGTTACCCAGCTTTTTATGTCCTCCGCCAAAGCGGTTATGCTTTCGGCCGTGTGTTTTGGTTTGCTAGTTGGCAGGATTATTTGAGTCACTCAAGTTATGAATGTAGGGCTAGGTAAGATGGTTCCGGATTCGATTCCCGGCCCAGGGGTCTTTCTGCATGGAGTTTGCATGTTTTCCCTGTGCATGTGTGGGTTCTCCCCGGTTACTCTGCTTCCACATTTGGATAACAGTCAAAAAAACATGACTGTTAGGTTAATTGGCTTCTCTAAATTCTCCTTAGGTGTGAGTGTGTGTGTGAATGGTTGTTTGTCCTGTTTGTCTCTGTGTTGCCCTGTGATGGAGTGGTGACCTGCCCAGGGTGTACCCCGCCTCTCGCCTAAAGACAGCTGGAGATAGGCACCAGCACCCCTCTCGACCCCAGCAGGGATAAAGCGTGATGGAAAATTAATGGAGGGATGGATGGAAGTTATGAATGTATTCTAATCAAATTTAATGAATTTGCTGCTCTGTAAAAACAGAAATAAGTAAAAAATTTCGTAAATTAAGTGTATTTACCCTTAATTTGGGTAGGTAAATAAGATGATTTGCCAAAGGAATTAGTATGTTTCCTCCTAAAATAAGATATTTAGATAACATGGTCTTGTAATTGTCTTATTCCATTGGCAAAGTGTCTAACTAACCTCCTCAATTCAAGAAAAATGCACTTTTTGTAAGGAAAAATGACTGGTCTGCTCTCTTTGAGTTCTTCTAGGAAAAGCAGCCAATTGAATTATTTTGCTGATTCTGGGGTTAACCAAGTCATGATTTTATACAGCTTATAGTAATTTAAAAAATACATTGACAAGCAGTTTCTGATTTTCTAAAGAAGTTAGAACTCTTTAGTGTAAGGTTATGAGCAGCTCAAATGTATGCCGGCATCTGAATGAGGAAGTGCATTTGAATAAGCCTGGGGTACATACTGTGGTGTTTGCAGAAATAAGTCGCTTGTACTCGCTGGGTGGTTCTGATATCTTTCTTGAGCAGTTTGTCCAAAATAGTTCTAACGTTTGTCTCTCTGTGCACAGCTAAATCTTGCTGGCAAAAGTGAGATAAAAATGCCTGCAGCTTTATAGAAAGATTCCAGATGGAGCAACCCAATAAGTGCATAAATTGAGATTCAAACATTGGCAAAGCTGTAAAAGAAGTCATCTAACATGCATTGGATTAAATCTACATAAACAACTTCTTTACAGCTGAAATGCAGTTTTGAAAAAATACAAAACAAATAAAGGGCTGCAAAACTTTATATAAACTGATAGTCCTGTTTTGTCTTCTAAGCACAGAATGTTTTAGTTGATGCACCACAGATGAGTAAATTAGTGCACATTCAGTAAACATGTATTTTTGTCTCAGTTCTGCAGCTGAAAGTAATTAGGCTCAGAGCCAGAGGTGTCTCTGAATCATCTTGGCATTAGATGCTGACTGTAAGCTTCTGTTGGTGAACACACGGGATGCCTTGGTTTTCTTTGAGAGCACACATCTCATTTGCATTTCATCCTTTCTTAGGGCTAAATTGGAAAGATGTATCATTAAAAATTGTTGATTTTTTTTTTTTTGTGTTCCAACCATGAAGGTCAGTGGCTTTTATTTGGATTTTACACAATAAACCAACAAAAAGTATTGCATAATTATGAAACCTTGGAATAAATCTAGTCCAAACCAATTTCCTTCCAATGTCCAATTGTTTGATTGAAGGCCTTAAAAGTTAGTTAAAGCACATTGTTGAGCACAAACCTTATGAAATATCAAAAAATATACCAGAGAGAAGTTATGTTTTAAAATGGTATCATACGTTTTGAACATTTAACAGAGCTTTTATTATCAGTCACCCAAAAAACAGAAATAGAATATCACAACTGCAAACCTACTAAAGCATGGTGGGAAAGGAGAGCACTTATCAGAGAAGCATTCTCTGATAAGGCAGCTTGTGTCTGCAAAGCACTTAAAACTGATTGAGTTACTATTGAGTTACAACTGAGTTGTTTAAATTAAAAGTGTGGTTGTATGTTTGATCAGCCAAACCAAAGTCCATTAAACTTAACGGAAAACCTGCGGCAAGATTTAAAATTGATGTTTACAGACCACCGCTGTCAAAGCTGATTGAACCAGGGCCTTGTATTCCTGCAAAAAGTGGGTCTACACAGTATTAAACCACCAGGACAATCACAAATGCACATCTTGCAAAGAGATATATTAAGGATATAGTGGAGGATGTTTTTTTTTCGGAGTGGATCATCAAAATAAGTGGTCATTCTAATTGTCAATCATTATGGTGATATGTTTACGTAAGGCCGTCCTACATTCTCTTTCCCATTTTCACTTACCGGTGGTGAGTCTGACATAGTGGGAAAATTGCAAATCCTCTTTGGAAAGTAAGCTTGTATGAGCGATTCAAACAGCAACTTTTAAAAAGAGTGTGCACGAGGAGAAAGGGACTCCTGCATTCTCTCGCACACGTTTAATAGGTGTTTCCTCTCGGGAGCAGGTACAGGGTTGTGCATTTGTGTTTTTTTTTTTAAGTGAAGAGGACGGATCTTTTAAAAAATTCATGAAAATCCTCCACTATAGCTTTAAGAAAGGCAAGTCAATGGATTAAGACAAACTTCTGGCTCAAAGGTTTACAATTAGATCAGATCGTAAGTGTTAAAGTTATGTTGTCAAAAGAAAAGTCTTACTACTCAAGTGCATGTTTCTTGCTTGATGTTGCACCATAAAACTCTAATTATTCAAATACATATTTCCTTCACGCACAATTTCCCAAGCCTGTCTGAAAGCAACACTTGCACTACTGTCTAAATATTGAATCTAGAGAAGTGTGTCAACAGGAAGGATTTTTGGAGGGTTTTTGTCAAAAGTCTTACCATAGAGAACTAATATGTGCAACCATCAGAACAACATAATACATAATATTGCCATTTTAAAGAACCACTCATCTATTTGAAGATTTTTTTTTAAAAAATACCCCACATCACCAGATGTAGTACATCAACCCCAAACAGTATCTGTAAATCTTACTTCCTTTGCTGAAATGCAAATACACATAAAGAGGAATTATTCAGAATCCACTGCAATATGTTTTTGCTCCATTTGAATCAGACTGACCACCCCCCACCTCCTCCTCTTTCCCAAGCAGGTATGAATATAAGTGTAGAATCCTGTCCCCTTCATTTGACTTGCTAATTTCTTCTCTCCTGCCAAAAAAAAAATCACCTCTGAAAACAAAAGGGGGATAATTATATCCTGCTGCTTGGCTTAGTTAGAGATTAAGGACCCCAGTACCAGAGCAGGCCACACTGACCTCCGTACAAGCCTGTGTGCCTGCAGGTGGGAAACAGCGACAAGGACATCCAGTGTGATGTAACTCGGCTTTCATGAGAATAACCTTGTCAGAATACTTTTATATCTGAAAGCAATATGTAGTTGTTTAGATAAAAGTTTTTGTTGTTGATACTTAGGGGAATGTTATAATTAAATTAATAAAGTCAAATAAAATCAAAATTTGAAATATAGATACAGCAGGATTGTCTATTTTGGAAATTTTTCTGCAAAATATCTAGGGACCCATTTATCTTACCTAAAGGTTAACTATGTTTTAGTGGTTTTGTTTTTATTATAGTGGCTTTATTTGCCAAGTAAGTAGGCAATGCTGGATAAGCGGTTCTCTCAATTTACATCCCATACAAACATGTCATGTGTTTATAACGACATATAAAAGCCTGCATATCAATACAGGCACGCAAAGTGCTAACAGTGACCCAGAGAGGGTTATTCTGCCATTACAACTAATGGCACACACGACATGTTTGTATGGCATGTTATTAGATTAAAAATTGAGAGAACTGCTTATCCATAGGAGGCTACATCCTATCTGAAGCCAGCTACTGATATGATTAATGATAGGCCAGCACTGGTAACTGAGCGGCTAGTGCAACTAAGTAGGAGAGTACTCGCCTGCATTAGCACTGGAGAAGCTGAAGATGGTCATCTGCTATAAAAAACATGCAAAGCTGAAGTTTAGGGTTGCAGCTTTCGATTCAAGAAATAAGCCTATTTAACCAGTATTTTCTCCAATTTAGGCATTTTTACTCTGCTGAGTTTAAAAAATGCAATTTTTCTTCAAATTTGGTTTACATTATTGTAGACTAAATGGAATTTATTTTAAACCCATTGTAAACAAAGCATTCTAAAATGTTATATTGGAAGAGTGGAAAAATCGTAATCATATGTTTGTAGAGGATTCTGAGGGCATTCTTGGTAGTTTTTTTTAAGGCTTTTATTTATATCAGTTTTGATATTTATCCACTAAAAGAGATACATTGAGATATAGGTTTTGGCTATATTGCAGAGCCTGACATGTCAAAGTGTCACTATGTCTTAGTGGACATCCTCCTTGTTAATTAGTCTTCTTATCCCAGCCTTCCTGCTTACCTTCTGCCTCTGCTGCTCCTCATTAAACCCAGGTTATCCCACTTTTTTCCAATATCATTCTCACTTGGTTCATTATATAAATTCATTGTTGGCCATTGCTCTCTGCAGGATCCTCCTGTTAAATTCCTGTTTTTCTGAATACATTTATTTTTCTTTTGTTTCCCTGGAAGCTTGTATCATATTTTATTTCATTAATATCTCTATTTTCATCCATCATTTATTTCTGCACTTAGGTCCTCACCCACAACCACAAAACATTTTACTGGCATCTCTTAATCACCTAATTGTTCTTTCTTCATTGCAGGACTATTTGTTATGGAATCGCCTTGGCGCTACTCTAGCAAATGGGGATCGTAGTGAAGAGGCAGTGGAGGCATACACTCGAGCCCTCGAGCTACATCCAGGGTTTATCAGGTCCCGCTATAATCTGGGCATCAGCTGCATTAACCTTGGGGCTCACAGGTGAGTGACCATAGACTTTATAATAGACTGTCAAATGTATCCTGGTTTGTTGTAACATTAACAAGAAGCAATGCATAAAAAGATACACTGCTAAATACTAAATACTACTCAAATAACACATCATAGATCTGAATGAATGAAATATTTTCATTGAATGCTTTGTTCTGTACAAGTAAGTACTGTAAGTTCAATGCGACTGCAAAATCATCAAAAAAACAACGGAAATCATATCTATTAACCAGTGAAGCAGTGGTGGCTGGTGGAGTTTTCTCCATGGGGCTATAAATTCCAAATAGACGTATACCAAAAACCAGTCAAACGTATACTAAGTTATCACACCAGTATATTTATATGGATGCCAACAACAAAAAAAACATTATAAAAAAATATATATAATTTCATGAACAGCTTTACATTTTGTACATATATTTTGCCCTTCTGATGTTTTGTGAAGGCAAATCTGTGTTATGCATGGTCCAATATGATGTCACAAACCTAAAAAAATAATGTGCCACTTTAATAATGGAGAATCTATTAGTCAGCTTTATATTTTTTTAATATATAAAAAACTATTTTCTGACAATGTGTTTATTTATGAGCAACTATGCAAATTACCAAACACCTAAAAAAAGTGCACTATATTATATTATTTTCCACATGAATCCCAGATTGTTTATTCTTCTTTTCCTTTTTTTAAAAGTGCTTTAAATCAATCCGACCTGTCTTTATCCATGCTGGGTCAGATCCTGACGTTTGAAAAAGGAGGCAGGGAAAGCAGAATAAAGCTACATGCTTCTAGCCAAACCTTCTTGCTAAACCAGGTCCACGAAAAGGATGTTTCTTGCACCATTTCTCTTTCTTGCTCTGTTCGAATTCATGGGATTAGCCCTCCGAATATCAGATTCGAAGGATGATTACATCATTACATCAGCCAGCTTGCTTGGCCTCGCCATGAATCCTGGGATATCCAAGGATACAGAGGATGCAACGGACCAGACCTTTAAATCGGGCAAAAAGAAGGACGCATTTTAAGGCCGCATAATGAAGAGCCTTGGGATCCGAACAGACCTTGGCGCCGCGCTATGACGTAATCGTCCTTCGAATCTGGCCTTCTGAGGACGCAGCCCATGAATTCGACAAGGGCCATGGACTAAAGCATCTCCCAACTCCTGGA